GGGAGTCCACAACGTGAGGCAGCAAAATATGGTCATTATTCGGAACCGAGAATAACTGCGCTGGCGAGGACCAGCAGCAATTGCAAACGACACAACCGTCCCCTCGTCAGAAGAGAGGGCGCTCCATATCAACAAACACACGATTGTCTGACAGTAATAAAAATCTGGTCTTGGGCCCCCCAGATAGGCGCTTGACAGCAAGACAGGCTCTCTGACTGAGCGTCGGTCGTAACAAATTCTCTCTTCTGCTCGCAACACAGTGTGCACCATAACACCTTACCTTTCTCAGTTCCGAAATATTTACCGTCTCAAACGTACATCTCGCCTTGCCTACCCTCTATATGGACGTCAGGCTTAAGAAGGAAAGCTGGTCACGTGACACAATTGTGCTGGGAGTGACAATATTCTGGGCTCCTTGGGTAACCTGTCTTCACGTGTTTATACTCGTATTTTGCATACTGTAATGGAATTCATGTTCATGCCCAGAACGTAACTTTAAAGGAAGTAAACAGAAGTTTCACTGTAGTCTGCCACCCCTTTTATATTCTTCGACACAATTCTCTTTACATAATTCTCCCCTTTTATCCATGTTTCCATCCACTGATTCACCGCTTAAAATTTATTCAGTGGTAACAAATAAAAGAAGAATACATGAAGCAGTATATTCTATCTCCATATAATCTAATTTTAATAAAACATATCACATTCACACAAGAGAAAAACAGACGCGAAAATATGGGGCTTCCTATGCACCAATAGAGTTATCAAAAGTAGATCTCTCGGACCATACGTTGACTTGTATAGAGAAGTAACGAGAAGTTGGAAACACAGCGGTTGCTATGGCGACGAGATACAGGACTCTGTTTTGCAAATATGATTGATTATAAACCATCACTTCCGTCATTATCACCAGCTTCATCAATTTTTCTTTTCTTCTAGCAAAATTAATTTTAAATAACGTCAAAAGATAACGTTAATCACATCCTGACGAAGATATTATTGCTGGGTTGCTCCGAAACGCGGTGCCACTGACGTCACGAACTGCAGCGGAAATACACAAACACATTTCATTCAAAATTTATTTGAAGACTAGAATGAACCAGAGCCCCTCGCGGACCCGTCGTTATAACTGCCATGCATACACCACAAAATGAAATTTGACAACGCATTTAACACTTCAAACCACAGTGGTAAATATACGTACCACCTGCTTTAACATTAAATAAACTCCGCATTCTGCCCACACAGTATATTTGTGTGTTCCGTACGGTTCTCACAATAAACAGCGACTGTTTCCCTAAACAGCATTAACCGGTTGGGCTTTGTTATGGAGACGTAATGTGTTTCCTGTGAGGTACGGACTGAATGTTTAAACTTTTCACATGCAGCTATCCCAATGTTAACATAGAAATTCCGATTGCCAGTAGTAAAGCTCATAACAAAATCCACCTTCCCTCAAAAGTACCTCAACAAGGAGAACAAATGAGCACTGCCTGGGAACCTTCACAGCAGGAACACTTGTCTTCCCTCAACCCCAGAGTTTGATGTCTCTCCGAAATCCCCTAACGTTGTCTCCTCTCAATCAGCGACACAGCGCTTCAGACATGCGCAGTTCGCCATTTGTCAGGCTTATCATGCTTTCAGGTTGAATGTTTCGATATTCTTCCATGAAAATTAATTAGGAAGCTCAGCTGATTGGTACTGGTAAGTGGAGCTCGTCTTGGGTAACGTTCGGTTACCCAGTTACCCGCGTAATTGGACCATGCCGCCTTTTCAGAGGGGCGAGAATTATATCAGACAGAAATTAATGAGATTAGAGGAGGGGTGCAAATATCACTGGGGTTGTGAATACAAGCAGCAGTACAGCCAGCTCGCCCTGCCTGACACCTCTTTCATTCCGGGAAATGTTATTACCCTGCAGAAGGTCATGTTGTGAATGAACCGCCATGTAAGCACGAGTTTGTATACCTTCGCATATGATAGGAATTCTGTCTTCTTAAAAATAAGGTCTTTTCGTATATTATTATTCGTTTCTACGCATCTGGTCTGGTTGCTAGGCAACCGTAACTGGTTTATATAGTGCTGTATCTATCTGTATACATCGCTACCTGGCAAAGATAACTGTGTACTGTGACGGTAAATAACATTTATCAAAGGTAGCTTGTATTTATATGACAGATTAAAATAAATAAGCAATTCAAATATTTTTTCAAGGTAAATGGTGAAGTTGTCCCTGTGCTCAACTAATTAGGCACTACGCCATGTAGGTGTATGGGGGAGTGGATGTATAGATCCACATTTTCTTGACCTCAGCACTAGTTGGAAGTGAGTGGCCGGCTTCACGCCCCTGCCGGTTTACCCCCGGAGAAAGAGCCCCTGGTAACCATTGAATAGGGGGTTGGATGGGCCCCAGCGTCGATCTGAACGGCATGGAGAACCCTACCGGGACTCAAACTCCGTCCCCTCGGTCCTCCAGCCCGTAGCCAGTCACAATACAGGCTGCGCTATCCCGGCTCAAATATTTTCTTTTAAATTAGATCAAATAAAAAGCACGAGGGAACAGCTGGCATTTCCACCAACAGGCTAACTTATTTTGCTAAAGAATAATTCAAATGGTGCGATACCCAGATGTCCCGTTTCCTCCGGCACGCACGCACACGAACACACACAGCTCCTAGCTGTCTGTGCTTGAGATCAGCATCACAGGTCCCTACAGACGTGTGAATACAGGGTTTCCCCGTCACAGAGAACTTTGCATGTCAATGCATCCTGCTCGCTTATCGCTGCTTACTTGTTTGACAGTTTATTTCCCTCCATCAAACTTGAAATTCCCCCACCTCCGTCACAAACATCTGAACTTACGCATTTGGTCATTAATCATCGCGAGCTCGCTGTGTTGCAGATGGCAGATATCGCACTGAAATGTGGTTACTACTCTTTGGTGGAAACCTGCGCTACTGTGTATACAGACGGGTTCAGTGGCGGCCAGTGCACGGGGACGGTCACGTCACGAACCTGAATTAATATGCTACAAGCCGCAACGTCGCTGGTTCAATTCCTGATGAGGTCATTGGACTTTTTTTTTTCAATTTACCTAATCCTNTAATCCTTCCAGCCGCACTATGGCGCTGGGGTCGATTCAGTCTCTAACAGAAATGAGTACCAGGAAGCTTCCTGGGGAGTAAAGGGCTCACAATCTTACTGCCATCTCTGGGCCGATTGTCTAGAAAATGTGGGAGCCTCGACGTCTCACAACCCTTTGGACACTCACCGCCTTTACAGAGATAGTTTCAATAATAATAATAATAATAATAATAATAATAATAATAATAACAATAACAATAATAATAATAGTAATAATAATAATGCACGTTTTGTTGCTTGATAATGAGATTAAAGTAATTATTAAATTCATATGTAAGGCAGAGCCATAGCTCGGGAGGTTCGGGTCCGGGTTCGATCCCAGGTCAGGTCGTGTGGGATTTGTTGTGGACAAAGCGAAACTGGGACAGAATTTCTCCGAGTACTTCGGTCTCCCCTGCTAATTCTCATTCCACCGGCTGCTCCACACTCATCATCATCATCATCATCATCATCATCCGGGGCTGGAACAGTGGGCCAGTTGGGGCCTCAGTCTCACCCCACCCCAGGAAACTAAACTAACCAAAGTTCGAATGTAGAAACCTCCTTGTTAAGTATAACTGAACAAAAATAATATTAATAATCATATTAGAATTACTGAAATTATTATTATTAGTCATTTAACGACTCTCGATGACAGGATGATCATTGAATGCGGGCAATTGGTGGAGTGAGAATTGGCAGGGGAAACCGCAGTACTCGGGAAGAACTCGACCCAGTACCGTCCACCACGAATCGCACATGGTGGTAATGATTCCATGGTAAGTTTATGTGAACCTTCCGGTACTATAAAATGCTGGGAATTCCTTGACGAGATGAGCAATTATAAGCTTCTAAAGAATGGCTCTGTGCCGTGGAGTTAATTGGTTACTTACTTACATTCAGACCAAGCAAAGTTTGCTTTTTCAAGATTTAGATAAGGCGCATTTTCTTTCGGGAAGATTAAATCTTAGAATCGAGGTTAAGAAATAAATTGTGTTGGTGCAGACTGGGATCATTTAACGCGGGTTAATTTCGTTGGCAGTTTCAATTTTCTAACAAAACATAATTGCACAATACAGATGCAAATTCTTATTTTGCCATATACAGATTAAGTGAACCAATTTGATATCGTGAAGGCAGGCTACCGGGATTAGAATTCACGGGAAATATTTTTAAAACTCGCGTGTTTGCTGCGCATAATTTTGCACCTATTTAGATTAACCCCAGGCTTTATATACTCAAATAACAATCTACCTGGAAAGAATCAGTCTCTCTTTAAAAACTGCCCGTTGCTAACCCTTACGCAGGCCTACAGTCTGACTTTCTTGACGTGGCTGCTGTCAAATCCACAGAGCACGGAAAGATGTTTTCGGACAGAAACTTCGTGGCAGGCGGCATCCCTTCTTCACATTAGTGCGAAGATGTGAAAACCGCGTTCTGCAGTGTACGTATCGCTGGTGCTCGCTTCATTCCAACTTTCGAAGCAATTCGTATATTCACGTGAAAGTGTTTGTTTTTTAACTGAACAGTTTTGACGCTGGGGTTAAACTTTGACTCAGAACAATCAAATCTGATTTTTACGTTCGTGTTAAGAATCCCTGAAACAAGAAATATTTGAGGAAGGTTGCTTCAGGTACCTCTGAAACGTCGGATTCCTTTCACAATGCTACACTGTATCACAACCTAACAGGCTACAATTCTATAAACTTGAATCGCCTTCTGGTGATGGTCAAAATAATAGAACCCACTAAAGTTAAAGTTTAAGGTTGTCCCTGTCCCTCAATAATTAAGCACTACGTCATGAAGGTGTATGGGGGAGTGGATGTATAGATCCACGTTTTCTTGACCTCGACACTAGTTGGAGATGAGGTGTCAGCTTCACGCCCGGACTCGAACACCGACCTCTCGGTCGTCCAGCCCGTAGCCAGTCGCTATACCGACTGAGCCATCGCGGCTCCCACAATAGACCCTACTAACGTTTAAAACATCGCTTGCATTTCGTGAAGGCGGTCGAGCAAAGGAAATGTACGGTTTGGAAATGAACATGTTCCTCCTTTTCCTTTTTTGTGTATGCATGGCAGATATAATGACAGGATCATCAAACGTCATTAATCACTGTCATATCTAAGTATAAAATATTCATTGAACTTTCCATTTGTACAGACACGAGTAGAAGTCACAGGAACGTCAAGTAACGCCACTAACAAACATCTGTTCGTCAGAGTCAAAGCAAATGGCCGCTACTGGAGACTGCGCAGTGCGCGCTAGACGGGCCAATCACAAGGCCCACAGGAGAAGCGTTTGAGTTCTCAAGAAAACAACACTCATAGAAGTTACCTGAGAAAATTTTCTACAAAAGAATAGACTTAGGCCTCCGTTCATCGTCACTATTTGGCCTTTGCGTTGCCTGCCAGTGGTTTCCAAACTTTAGACAACGTCATCTTATCAAATGTTGCATCGTGACCCTTGCTTGACACTTTCTGTGCGTCTAAAGAACAGTTCCGTTTGCCCTTCATTTTGTGTGTGTGTGTGTTTAAAATTTACATACAAAAGGCTTTTAGCAAGAAGTCACATTTATCGAGAATTTACAAATGCACGAAACTGGACAAGCGGTCTCAGAATTGCAATGAATTCTGTTTTTTACTATATAACTATACTTTCCTGGAGGGCACGCCCCACACATTGCAAACCACTGGGGTAAACTGCCGTCGGAGGATATCTGTACTCTACGTTTTGCCAGAGGCAGGAACACCCAATAACACTTGCAAGGCTGAAGATGTCAGTGGGGGGGGCGGCTAGACGTCACGCGTAGAAAGCTTCGAGATTCTGGTTTCGGTGTGTTGTGCGAAGAAATGGGGTTTAACATCTATTGACAGGCTTTTGTGAGCATGGTAATGAACCCTAACGTTCCATGAAAGTTGGAGAATTTGTTGAGTAACGGAGCAATAATTTCACGAGCAGCTGAGATCCATTGGGCCAGTCAGAGAGCCTACCGGATGCTGCTCAGTTGCAGAACAAGTTTAATATCTCTGTTTATCGGTGAGCGCCATTTTCCTCCTGCAGGAAGTGACCTAGAAGGAAAGTGACATGAGGTCCTGCGCCCCTACACCAAGCGTGCCTCAGATCATCTGGCGAATGTTGCGATAGTACTCTCGAATCCCGCCACGGGTATGGGATATTGATGTTTATCATCGCTGTTTCAAGCAGACATTTCAGAATCCATGGCTCGGTATAAACACTGACATTCAGCTTGCTGATTGGAATAGAGTGGATTTCTTTTTGCGTGCAAACAATGCTTGTAGCTGGCGCTCCCTGCCCGGTAATCATGCAAGTGCTGACGTCACATCTCTAGTTCTATTTTTAAGGAGCCTCTAAAGGCATAAAGCTTCTTTTGGATGGGTTCTGTTTATTTGCTCTTGCACGCAGCGACGACATCTTGCAGTCAGGTCCGTGGGTACCAACGTTTCAGAGGAACATACCGTCTTCACCGTCGTGGCTGAACCCTGAAGATGGAGGCAGCAGATTCCTGCAAAACGTTGGTAGGTACCTACCAAACTAAACGAATTCCAGAACAACACAGTATGGGTTCTATACACCTGAAGAACTCAGATCTTACAAAAAATTCTGTTTCCGTTCTGTTCAGAAGGATTTACATCAAACCAATCGTGACGGTTTGCACAGGTGCAAACAGAGAGTGCACACTAATTGGAAACGAATTTGTGCGTGAAGTGCAACAAGTGCCAGCAGACAGACAAACTGATCGCGGTGTATATGCACGGTACCTGCATGAGCGTCACAAGTAACATTCCTTACGAGCAGATGTATTAAGACTACGAAACAAAATAGAAAGCAAGACGTGACGTCATTATTATGCTACACAGTAAGTCGGTCTCCATGGCAACGAACAAAAGCAAATGAGTAATGTTTAATGAGAAGTCACTGGTGCGACGTAGAGTACGGGGCCAGGGTGGGGGGGGGGTGTTCCAACAGGCACAAACAGATGTGATGAAATGAGGACTCAGGGGGTTTTCGGAAGCCAGTCAGTCAGAGTATCACAGGAACGACTCGTCGGCGCGCGGCGATGCACCGGAAGTGGTGTGCTCAGGTTCGACTCCCGGTACCGTCTCCTCCACATCCTCCCCGTCCCGAGCCGTCTGGTACTGCTGGCTGCTGTTGATGACGCAATAGTGATGCTCTGGGTCTCCGTACTGAGACTGATAGAACTCCTCTCGCATCATGTGGTTGAGGGAGCCGCACCGGAAGAACAAGATCTGCTGGAACGGTTTCCGGAAGTCCCTGTTCAGGGTGGCGTAGATGATAGGGTTCAGAAGGGAGTTGGCATAGCCCAGCCAGAGGAAGAGGCTGGACAGGGACGGGGGGATGGGCGATGGATCGTTCCTCAGGAAGGGCCTGACGAGGGCGAGGACAAAGAATGGGAACCAGCAGATGGTGAAGGCGCTCATGATAATGCCCAGGGTGGTGGAGGCCTTGCGCTCTTTGGCCAGGGCGAACCGCAGCTTCTTGTGGTGAGAAAGCGTCATGCAGGGCACGGCTGAGGAGTTGTGGTTCCTGCCGCCCGCCTTCTTCCTCATGAACTTGCCGACGCTGTTCTTCTTGGCGGCACCACCCTGCCGGGCGCCATGCTGGTGCAGAATCGGACACTGGGATTCATTGGAGCGTCGCGGCGCAGAGGAAGTCGAGAAGCACCTCGTGTTGCCACTGCACTGCAACAGGAAACAGTTTGCTCCGTCACTCGCACTCGCCGGCAATATCATCACGGTGATAACATGATGGCGGGACATGTAGCATGCACGAGGACCTGGAGAACACAAACAATACCTTAGCTAGAAAATCTGAAGGAACCATATCACTGCAAAACATGCAAAGTTGCCTCTGACCTTAATAAATTAAGCACTCTGCCATGAAGGCGTATGGAGGAGTGGAGGTGAGTCGTCAGCTTCACCACTTGCTACCCACTGGACAGCAGTCTGGGTGGGCTCCAGAGCATTTAACCCTAGCAGTGTTATGAAGGCGTGTACGTTGAGGACGGAAGGACGGACGGACGGACAGACACGGGGCGTCTCCTGACTGCGGTCCGAGCCTGCTCCAGAGCATGAAAACCGCTCGGGCGCACACAGGCAGCCGGTCCCCGGGCTGGAGACCACTCAATGGGCGATGATTGACGACACGCGAGGCACTAAAATTCCTGAAGAGTGAAGTTCTTAAGTTGTTCGACGTTCTGTAATGTCATCAGATAATTACAAAGTTCATTGAAGTTGTCGATCCAGAGTAAAGTTTTAAGTCAATGATGAAAGTTTCGGTCGCTCTCAAGATTCTTCCGTAAGCCGAGCGTTTCGTTGCGACGCTGAGAGACGCAGGAGCGCTGCGTCCTGCGTCCGTCACTCCAAACCAACCCCATCCGCACGCGCACACACTAATCAACTATTTACATCTATTAGGAAAAGTCAGATAATTGTGGTACCAGGTTCAAGCAGGTCCTGTATACATTTTCAGTCCTTTCGTGGCCTACTGGATCCCCATAGCAACTTCAAATGTTCCGGAGAATCTCCACGGCAACACCAAACATCCTACAGAATTCCCATAGCACCATCAAACATCCCACAGAATCTCCAGAGGAACACCAAACACCCTACAGAATTCCCATAGCACCATCAAACATCCCACAGAACCTCCATGAGAACTTTAAATGTTCTAAAAATCCCCCAAACGACACTAAACACCCTACAGAATTCCCACAGCACCATCGAACATCCAACAGAATCTCCAGAGGAACACCAAACACCCCATAGAATTCCCATAGCACCATCACACATCCCATAAAATCTCCAGAGGAACATCAAACATCCTACAGAGTCCTCATAGCACCATCACACATCCTACAGAATCTCTAGAGGAACACCAAACACCCCATAGAATTCCCATAGCACCATCGAACATCCCACAGAATCTCTAGAGGAACACCAAACACCCTACACAATCCTCATAGCACCATCGAACATTCCACAGAATCTGTAGAGGAACACCAAACACCCTACAGAATTCCCATAGCACCATCAAGCATCCCAAGGAATTTTCAGAGCAACACCATAAATGCTATATAGTTTCCATAGTAATACCAAATTTCTCATAGAATCTCCACAGCAACGCCAAACATGCCACAGAAACTCCGTTGCAACGTCACATATCCAGAACTGCCACAGTTAACTTCCAGACCAGTGACAATGGACACATGCTCCAAGGTCCACAAACGTTTTGTTTAAATGTCAACACCGCATTTTGATTAAGATACCTGAGCCTAGGGAGGGCCGGACACGCACAGATGTGAGGCGCTTGGTGAGTGCCGTGCGCATGCATGAACCCCGTCCGTAATGAGGAACGGTACCGAATATTTTGCCTGTGACAGGTACACGAACTGCTGCATTAAAATGGAAAGGCGACCAATTAAATCTGTTGTTATTAATCCGAGGGGAAACACCCATCTGCCCGAATTGTGGATTCGTATGCTAATGATTTCTCTGAAGTGGAGTGGCCTTTAGTCAGACTTGGAATTAGAGTTGGGCTCCTGAAATAGAGAGACGCGTGATGGAAGAGTAAATTAAAAAGAAATGGGAGGAAGGCGGGAAGGAAACAATAACTAAACAAAGAACTGTTTCATGATGAAGCCCTGATTGCTTGTAACTCAAGCTCTGACCTACTTTCTTCCATTTTGTAAAGCAACCGGATATACGTGCTTCACAAAGTAAACAGAATTAGTAGGCACGGGACACTCCTCATCAGGAGAAAAGCAAGATGGCAGCCGATAATCAGGTTTCGGGTTTCACTGATCACAACAACAAAGTTCTGTTCGGCCATTTCAAAATCCAGTTTCGGTAAAGAGATCGCCGTCAGGTCTCCTTGAGCCCCCTTAAGACAAACAAGATGATACGGTCGGGGCTCTGGGGAAGGACGCAGGGAGACGCCTGAATCACCAGGCGTTTGCATCGCCGTCAGGAATCACTTACTTACAAAAGCTCACAAATTATTAAAGCGTAGTTGGTTGAGGCACTGTGCTGCAAGCCGGAAGGTCGCAGGTTCAAGTCCCGATGAGGTCATTGGTTTTTTTCAATTTACCTGATCCTTCCAGCCGCACTATGGCCCTGGGGTCGACTCAGCCGCTAACAGAAATGAGTACCAGGAATTAATTTAATATTTTTTCTGGAGAGTAAAGCGCGGCCGGCGCGTAAGGCTGACAACCTTACTGCCATCTGTGAGCCGATTGTCTAGAAAATGTGGGAGCCTCGACGTTTCACAACCCTATGGGCCTCCATGGCCTGTAACAGGGATAGCCTTACTTTTACTTTACCCTGGTACGTGCTTTGGGAATGAGTTGTCTGAGTGTGGAGGTTATCTGAGAACAGGCATAGGAAGCACCAATTTAGCAGCGAAAATTACATGATGAGGACCTTCATGATCTGCATGATCATGTACAATTAGAGTAAGCAGATCACATGTTGTTCAACGACGCTCTCAGTATCTAAGTTCATGTGGTGTCAAATGGTAGGTTAATTAGTGAATGATGAATTGGAAAGGAATTGCTAGGAAACGGCTGCGGCCTAATCGAGGTACTATTTGCTCGGAGGGACTTAGCAAGACCTCGCAAGCACTCAGTCCGGAGATCAGGTGCTCCGACCGAGGTTCGAATCAGTCACGATTCTACAGCGTTACCGCTAAGCCGACACATTTGGCTTGGCATAGCATGTAGCATGGATGGGACAGGTAAATGCACATAAAACTGCAGTACGAAGAACCTGAATTGAAGAGAATACTTTGTAGACCTAGTGCTAGATGGGAGGATAACATTAGGTTGTATCTTAGGGCCACGCCATAGCTCAAGTGGTTAGTCGTTGGCATTCCACCGCGGCGGCCCGGGTTCGATACCGGGTTTGGTCAAGTGGGATTTGTGGTGGACAAAGTGGCGCTGGGGCAGATTTTCTCTGAGTACTTCAGTTCCCCTGCAAATATTCATTCCACCAATTGCTCCACAATCACCCTCACCTATCATCTGGGGCTGGTACAATAGGCCAGAAGTGGCTGCAGTACAAGGGACTTAGTCCCACCCCACTAGCAATAAAAAAAAGGTGTATCTTAAAAGGACAGTGTGTGGGGTCTCATTTAACTGGCTCAGGATAGCATCCTGTAGCTGGCTGTTGTGAACACGGTAATGAACCTTCGGGTCATAAGAGTTAAGTGTTTATGGGCCAGCTGAGTGACTATCAGATTATGTCACATTGTTGCTTAAATTCCACTTTGCTGGCCAGGTGAGTTCTCGCCGTCTAAGCGCTGAGAATTTGTCGACGAGTGAAATTCCCTGTTCTCCGATGGACAGACGTCGGTGAGTGAGCACACACTTCCTTCCTTATCCCTTCTCTGGACTTCACCACGCCTTCCCCACAATAACGCGCCATGTACCCGCACTTTTGATCAAAGGTAAAACTGGCAACGCTACTGAACCAGCTCTGGGGTGACTAAAACCCGAAGAGACTGAACAAAATTAATGGCGGAAGTGGATTCAGGTTTTGCCTATAACCAGCACGGATAATCCCTTCACGTTATATACACAGTGAGAACCGATTATATCTTTCCACTTTTTCTGCCTCATTCTGTCCGATTTGCACTTATTGCTGACACGAATCTATTATTTCAGGAACAAATTGACTTTACCACGCAAAAGGCAAATATATTGAAACAGATGTGAATCGAATTGCACAGCGAGGCAACCGTGACAGAATTCATTTCAAGTTTTAACTCTGACTAACATTAATGCGTTTATAATTCACGATGAAGTCTAAGTCAGTTCATCCCGTATCGTAAAACAAAACATTTCCAAATAAAACAAATAAATAAATAAATAAATAAAACAAATAAAATAAATAAAATCCTTCCAGCCCTGGGGTGAGACACTGAGGCTCCCGTGTTTTCTAGACAATCGGCTCACAGATGACGGTGAGGTTGTCAGCCTTACACTCCGGCCGCCCTTTATCCCCCAGGAAGATTCCTGGCACTCATTTTTGTTAGAGGCTGAGTCGACCCCAGGGGCATAGTGCGGCTGGAAGGGTTAGGTCAATTAAAAGAATTCAACGAACTCATCGGGAATCGAACCCGCGACCTTCGGCTTGTAGCGTAGTGCCTCAACCAACTACGCTAAAAATTACGGATTAATTTTTTATATGTTTGGATGTCCTCTGTTAGGTCCGTGGCAGGAAACAGGAGACTTATATTGTTACGTATACATACAAGACATACATAGTGTGTCCAGGTTCTGTTGGGACTTTGATCATTAAAAATACAAGACGTGAAGTATTTTCAAAATTTCACTCTTTTTATTCAAAATATTCTCCTTATGAATCAATTGAAAAGTTTTCGAAAACAGTCACTGTACTCCTTTTGTGGAATCGCATTTAAAACTGCGGTACAGTCCCTTTGATGTCCTCGGTGGTGTCGTGACGGTCTCCTTTCATCGGCAACTTAACTTTTGGGAACAATCAGAAATCTGCTGGGGCCAAATCTGGTGAATACGGAAGATGATCAAGGACTGTGATCCCTTTGCTGTCCAAAAAATTGCGCACGATCTTCGATTTGTAGGGTGGGGCATTGTCGTGGAGGAGCGACCAGGAACCTTGCTCTCGATATTCGGGTCGAATTCGAAGAATTCTCGCCCACAAAC